ACTTAATCTTACTTAGGGGTAGTGATTGTGTTCAAGGGTTGGAGAATAGTAAATCGATCCACAAGGTTCAGGTATAATTAGAACGCGAGTAGCTCGTTAGATACTATTTTAAACTTACTAAATCTAAGAATTATCCTGGGTCTTGATAAGAGGAGGGTTCAAGTGAAGGATGAATAACCGAAGTTCTTCACTGTTTATCCTAATTTGAATGATTAGTTTTGTTCAAAAATTTCTATTAGTCTTGGGTTTTTTGAAAGGGTTGGATAGTGAATCGACGTTTGAGGTCGTTAGACACTAGCTAAGTGGGTGGGGGAGAACAAAATTGTTCTTTTTGATCCAAGGATAGGCCTTGATGATCACGTTTTAAATTTAATTAAATAGAAAATGAATTAAGATCCAAGGATAAGCCTTGATGATCTGATTTTAAAATTAAGTGAATTTAAGTTTAAAATGGTTTAAATTTGTTTAAGAAAAAGATTTAGTTTTTTAATGATATTAGTGAGCTTATGATTGCTGTTATGTTTTAGGTGATAAAGCTGGGACAATTGGATGATTTTATGATTACTAACAGTTTATTGTCATGCTACTAATTTTTGTTTTGATTTTCAATAAATATTTTCCAAACATGGAAAATATACTGCAGAATTTACTGCAGAATTTTAGGAAAACGATCTGAGATCTTTTTATCAATCGTTATTGTATATTAATAGTTTTGTTTTAGCGCCTGAAATGATTATGAAGATTGACTTCAAAATTTTATGTTTGCAAATGAAAATCTAAATTCATTGCTAATAAAATTCTAAATATAAAAGATTGTGTTGGCTTTTGCCGTACTATCATATAACTATTTGGTAAGTTTCCATTTTGTCGTATGTCGTCTCTGGTTCGAGGTCTTCTTGCAATTCCGGGTACTTCTGTTATCGTTCGGAATATTGGCTCTGATCTATTGAGTCGTAGAGACATTTCGATTAAATTATCGTCGTATAACATTTTAAAAATGTTTTGTCTAAATTCTAATCTATTTTTGGTTAATTCTAAGCTATTAAGGTCTTGTTCGAGACTTATGGTCGCACCAGATGAGTTATGACCGAGGTGGTTAACTCATAGAGTAATTTCGGATAGGGTACACCGTCTGCTCGTCACGCTATCTTATTTTCGGCCGGATAGATTCGTGCAACTTCTTAGTCTAATACCGATCCTAATCTTACTCTTATACTATCTAGTCTCAGGTTGTTTAACTAGTCTCTGCTAGGCTCAATAGATCTAGGGTATACTGGTTTATTGCGGCTGCTGAAGTTCTCTTGGAGAGGCAACTAATTTCTAAGTTAAATTCAAATCTCTCTGGTGCTGAAATTACAAGTAATTTCAGCACTTACAAATAAGTGGGTTGTTAGTTAGATGGATCATGATTGGTTAATATTAAATACTTTACAGTGGTAAAATATCTAATTTATCCAATCATAAAATGTAGTTTAGATCAGGTTCCACTTTGTACTATTTTGAGCAGGGGCGGATCTAGGATTTTCTCGAGGGAGAGGGGGGGGGGGATGGCGGATTTTTGAAAATTTTCAAAAATTTTCTCGACTTTTTTTAGGTCGACCAAAATGATTTTTCGAGCTCTCCCTAAGCCTGGTTTAGTCCCTGTTTTGGCCAAATTTTCTGCGAAAAAATAGTCCATTTTAAACAAAAACTTGCGTTTTTTCGGCGGGCGCTCCCCCCTCAAAATTAGTATATATTGGCGCCCAAGGCGTCTTTAGAAAAATTTTAGGGTCGGTCGGCCAGAAATGCATTTCTTAAAAAATACCAAAGGGGGAACCCTTTGGGTCGGCAGGGGGTCGAATCCCTGAGGGAAAGAGAAACGTCCGTCGCCCCCCCCCCCCCTAAATCCGCCCCTGATTTTGAGATATCCAATTTTGGCTGACTGACTCTAATATTTTTCTAAAGGCGGCTTCGGTTCTATTTCCTGTATGTACTAATTTTGCGGGAGAGTGCGCGCCGAAAAAAGCGATTTTTCAATCAAAATTTTTCAAAAACTGCCTAAAAAGGCATTTTTTCAATTTGTAACTACAAACTAAAAGCAGAGGCCGATTTAGGGGGGGGGGGGTCGGATGCCTCCCCCCTCAGGGGCTCGACCCCCTGCCGACCCATAGGGTCCCCCTTTGTACTATTTTGAAATATCCATTTTTGGTGACGGACTCTAAAAATTTTCTAAAGGCGCCTTCGGTTTCAGTATATACTTAGTTTGAGGGGGGAGCGCGCGCGGAAAAAACACAATTTTTTGGTCAAACATTTCCAAAAAGTGCCTAAAAACGCCTTTTTTGACCTGTTTTTTTTTCAAATTTTGCCTGCGGGGGCTATTTAGTGCTTTCGGGGAGCTCGAAAAATCAATTTGGTTTACCTAAGAAAAAAGGTCGACTAAATTTTCGAAATTTTTTCAAAAATCCATCCCGTCTAGAGAAAATCTTAGACTCGCCCCAGACTGAAAGTATAAATTGGTTATAAACTACTGAAATACCAAAAAACAAGAGTTTTAGAAAAAAATATCCTTTTGGTATAAATTTTCATTTTTTTAGGAACCTTACATCTTAATATATTTTTTAATAGGAATCTCGCATCCTAATTTGCTTTTGTACAAGGTTCGTTTTTTCTGCTAATATGACTCTTACATCATATTTTGTTTTCGTATGTTTGGTTTACGTGTAAGGCTATGCTAAGATATGTACAATTTAGGTCAAAAAAATTGATTTGACGAGCGCTCCCAGAGCACTATGAAGACCCTATGATGCCAAAATTTTGAAAAAAAAGGTCAAAAATGTTGTTTTTGGCCATTTTTTTGAAAAGGTTGACCAAAAATTGCGTTTTTTGTCGCGCGTTCCCCTTCAAAATTGGTATACAATTGCACCGAAGGCGCCTTTAGAGAAAAAATTTAGGGTTGGTCAGCCGAAAATGAGTATTACAAAAAAACCAAAAATGTCATTGGTTAGTGGTTTAAATGCTTTTTGAAATCAAAGCTCTTGCTGAAACTCAAAGACTTCAAAATATTTTGCTGAAAAATTTTGAAATTTTGTGTGACATAATTTATGCTTTGATATTTTTTTCTCAAAAAAATGATTTTGTAAAAGTGCTTTACTTTCAAATCAAATGATTTCAAAACAATTTGTCTGCCAAAGCAAAGAAAACAACTCTTTAGAAAAACAAAAATAGTCGGTTGCCTTTGATCTAGCACAAAACTTTTGGTTTGCAATGATTTAACTGAAGAAAACGAAAAATCACAATTTTCTTTTTGAAAAAAAACTTTCTCAAATATTTTTCAAAATATCCAGTTGTTGTTCTGACCATTGAAAATGGGAAAGAACTTTGTATTCGGGTGTGTTTTAGTTTTCTTCTTCTTTTTGGTTTCCAAGCAAAATCAGGTAATCCAAATAATGATCGGACTGCGTTGAGTGATATATCATTTTAAAGCCTTTTCAGTCGTGATTCGAACCACTTTAAAATATTTCTAAAAATTTCCCAGTGTCGAGAAAAACCGGTTTGAAATTTTTTGTTTTTGTCTTAATTCGAGCGAATAAAACAAGCGAGCAGTCTTTTTTTCCATGCAAAATCAGCTACCACAAATAATCATCGGACTGGGTTGAGTGATATATCTTATTAAAGCTTTTTCAGTCATGATTCGAACGACTTTAAAAAAATTGTTTTGAAAGTTTTCCTGGTGTCTGAAAAAAACAGTTTGAAATTTTTGATTTTTTGTCTTAATTCGAGCAAAAAGTTTGGGGGAAAATTTTGAAAAATTATAAAAGAAAAGTTTTTTTTTGATTTTTTTGTTCTTCTTGTTATCTATCTGCAAAAATTGTTTTCCTATTTGCATATTTTACTATTTTACATAACTGACGGAAATGCCTAAGTTCTACTTTTTCGCTCAGATTCCTTTATCTCACCGGACCAAAAAAATGACACTATTGGAAAAACAATTTTGTGGTAATTTTTAAAGAATGGTCGGAACATTCTGTGCTACTTGCTCAATAACCGGCTATTCTTGTTTTTTTGAGTAAATAGCCGGATCAATTAGAGAAAAAAACTTTGCAACGATGAGAGAATAAATAAGGTTTAAGAAGAGTAGAATTAAACTGACAATTCAGTTTCAATTTTTCTGAAAACTGTTTTCTGGATCCACATTATGATAAAAACTGCTTCAATATGATGATATTCTACTATGATTTTCTTAACAATTTTTTGTTGAGTTAAGAAAAATTGGCTCTATTAAACCTTTTCTTTTCGAAAGGGTGTTCAGAACGAAAACGATGTACATTTGCACTTGATCAACCTTCATCAATTTAATTTTATGCTTCATTCGTTGAAATTTTATGAAATTTGAGCTTTTAAAATTAACAATGATATCCAGTTGATATGCAAGTAGCACAGATTAAAAAAGTTCTTTTTTTAATTCAATGTTGATTTTTTAAATGCAAAAAGCTATCCAATTCGGTAACAATTGCAAGTCTCAGATGGATATTTCAACATCTCGTTCTTGCAGTTTTTACTTAAATGGATATTCCTGTACAGAAAAAAACGGCAAAAAAAGTTGTTAGAATTTTATTAGAATTTCTGTGCTAGTTGCATATAAATCGGTGGGCCTTGTCAATTTAAAGGCTCGAATTGAAAAGAAAGAGCTTAAGAATTGAACAAGAATTAAATTAGGCTGAAGCTCAGTGTCATCAAGTTGACCTGAAACTATTGGAAAAATTTTAGGCCCGGGAAAAATTTTAGGGTACCTCAGCCAAAATTGGATATCTCAAAAGTACAAAGCGTCGACAGGGGGATCGAATCTCTGTGAAAAGGGTGTCCCCCCAAATCCGCCCCTGCGTTTTAATATGATAGCACACATGACATTTTAAAAACTTTCTCTGAGCAAGTCAAAATGCGTTCAAACGCGTCAAAAATCAACTCCTGTGCCTGACTTTTTTCCTTTACGTGAAGTGATTGGAACAAAAATGTTCGTTCAGGATTGGGCTCTGTCGGCTCCGACTTAATAGCAGGACCTGGAGTTGCTTCTTCTGGCTCTGGAGGTCTACTACTGTCGGGGGATCAATTCGTGGAGATCCCCTCTGTAGGTGGCAACCAGAGATCCGTCATCAAACTAGCCAACATGTACTTCGACCCAAGTGAAAGCCAAGGTATGCAATTGAAGAAACGATTTCTTTTCAAAATGCTATGATTTTCTTTGCACATTTTGAAAAGATTCCCATCCAGACTCTAGTTTATACCACATCAAAAAAGTTAGTTAATTTTCAGTTTTCAAAACTTTCTCACGGTAGAGGATTTTGGGGGATTCGACACTCAATCAAGGATTCCTCACCCTGGCCACCATTTCTTAACGACATCCATTTTTGGTCGACCAATTCTAAATTTTTCAACAATTACTTTCGTCGCCAATAAACACTCAGTTTGAGGGGGAGTGCGAGCTGAATATACGCAAACTTTTGGTTTCCTTGTGTAATTTTAAAATTTGGTTGCGGCACTGAACCTTTTTGTAAAACAGGGAACGTTTAGGGAGATTCTGGAAGCTCCATTTAATCGACCGAAAAAAGGTCGACTAATTTTTTGTGATCGTCTAATCTCACGGTTTCTTTTTTTTCAGGCCAGTACTCCCCGCAATATCACCACTCCCATTACTACCCGTCCCAAGTGCCACCGGGAGACTACGGCATGAACACAAGCGTCTCCGCCTCAGTACTTTCATCCAGCTCCATCATCAGTGGGGTAAACACTAACAACAGGGACACTATTGACCAACTGGGCACATCTGCAGCTGTCGAACACATCCAGAGGAACTTCAAATTGGAGCCATACACCGGTTAGAAACAACTGCTACATTTTAACTCTTTCGGAGCGTAAATACGAATAACTCGCATGAACATTCACCTTGCAACCATAAAGGTTGAGTGTTCGGATGATCGAGACAGCGCTACATTTCTTCGCTCTCCAAAAAGGCATCTTTTGCGTGAAGGTCTTTTTCAAGGGGTCAACAACGTTTCGCCGTAAGGTCTATCGAAGTCATTAAATGCATTAGGCTCACTCTACTTCAAGATATTTTTCTCATGAATCACACTAATAGGCTAACACACTAGAATAACATGAAAAAGCATATACAAATCATTCTCACATCCAGGGGCTGATCTAGAAATTTCTCGAGGGGGTGGGGGGTTGATTTTAAAAAAATTCAAAATTTTGTCGACCCTTTTTTTTTAGATCGACCAAAGTGGTTTTCCGAGCTCTCCCAAAGCACTTAAAAGACGCTGGTCGCATTTTTTTTTCGACGCGCGCTACACCCTCAAATTTAGTCTATATTGGCGCCGAAGGCACTTTAGAAAATTTTCAGGGTCAGTCACCAAAAAATGATATCTCAAAATCGTACAAAGTTGGGACCCTTTGGGTCGGCAGGGGGTCGAATCCCCGAGGGGCAGGGGGGGGGGGGGGGGGGGGGGGGTTGGCGTCCGCCCCTGCTCACATCTTTCATAATAAATGAGCTAAAACAGTTTTTTTTGCACAACTAGATTTATTTAGATCAGTGGCGTGCGCAAAAATTTTTCTATGGGGTGGGGCTGTTTTTCGAAAAATTGTGAAAATTTTGCGGACCTTTTTTCAAAAGTTTTTCAAAATAAAAAACAGGCCAAACGAACCGCCCCCTCCCCTCGGCATGCTACTGATTTTGATTGCAGTTCCGCTTTCAGGTCACGAAGATCACCATCATCACAAACTGTACGCAGCTTCTGTTGCCGCTTACGCGAGTGTAGCCAACGACCCGACAAGCTACCTGATCAATCCATACCACGTGATCATTCCCAACCGGTCCCTAAGTGGGTCTCCAATCAGTGCTAATATGGTCGGCCAGGACCTGACTTGTGAAACGAATCCTCGAGAGAGCCTCCTGTCCGAAGTTGAAAAAGACACGGAAACAAGTCAGGCCGAAAGAAGAGTGGACGACTTGGATGCCGTGACTGGTGGTCAGGTGACCTTACCAAGCAATAGCTCGGGGTCATCGACCTCAAGTCACAAACGAATGGCGGCCATGGACGTCAGAGACAACATGGCACTGCTTGGACTTGCGCCGTGTTAGTTTGCATGCACCAAAATTGATCTGAGACTAGAATTAACTTTTTTTATTAATTTTTTATGGTTTAATATAATAAAAGCAAAACTTGTCCAAAATAAAACATCAAAATTGCAAATTATTTGGCAAAAACGCGAGAATCCTTTAATTTGCTGCTGTCGGTTTAATTAGAAGATTTTTTTTATGATCCAAGTATGCGATGAAAAATATTTCGGAAAATGAGGTTCCGAAAAGCTGCCAAAAACGAAACAATATTTTTAACTTTTCAACAATTCTGCAGCTCTCCAAAAGAGTAAAGGGTGAGAAATTTGAGCTTGAGATAATAAAAACTTGGGGTTATTGTGCTTATCGCGAATGTTTGCAGATGAATCATCTCACCCTGCCTCTTCGATATCATCCCAACAGCAACAGCAGCACAGACTGAGTCCCAACAGTGAGGATGCCGCAGGCTACTCTGGGGACCAGCCAAGTAGCCATCTATACACTGTACTCAACAACGAATACATGGTAAGTAATGCTGGCTATTATCTTCGCGTTCTTCTTCCTCTTCGGGTTTCCATGTGCTATGAGCTTTCAAAATCAGAAATTCATAAACAAAACAAAAAGCTTTAACGCTTTAACAAAAAGCTTTTTTGGTGTGCGTTTAACGAATATGCTAATCGACGTTGGATTGTTCATGAGCTCAAGTTACGTTATTGTTCAAAATGTACGACGATTAATGTTTTTTTTAATACTATTTATATGTTTCAGACTACTCGCGAGGAGACTGATTGGCAGGATTCGAACTTCAACCAACTCCAACACCATGTCAACTTTCATCACCCGGCCGCCAACAACCACGCCACATCAAACTCCCCCTTCCATTCCTCGGCGAAGTCCACCTCCTCATCCTCCCTCCTGCATGAGTCCCATCAGAACAACAAAAACAACCACAACAACTCGACATCTTCTTCCCACTCGGCAGCAGACCCACGCACAGTGTCCGTAGTGCAGGCACAGGCCTCTGCTGCTGTACAATCGGTGGTCGCAGAATTGTCCCAGAGTAAGTAGTGACCCCACACATGCTAGGAATCAATTGATTAGTGTATTTTCTGAAGTGGTGCCTGTAGTGAGGACTTTCTACCCCTACAAAGAATTAAGTCAACAACATAGTTAAGGGGTCAATAAAACAATAGCTCATGGACAGCAGATATGTGTGTTTCAAGACCTGAAACGAACATATCTGCTGTTCAAAAGTCTTCCTCGTCCCTTTTAGCGAACAAAGTCTTTTAGTCAAAATCTATCTATTTTTCTGTAATTTGAGAATACTTATAATGTATGTAATTGCGCATTTTTCTAAGACAGAAAAAAGCCGGCTGAATATCCTAACTATTTGATCATTTATTCACCTTGAAACCAGTTTTTGGGTTTTGGATTTTGTTATTGTGAGTTTTTGGGTTCCACATTCAAAGGGTAATGTGGCGCTTAGTTTTCAAAAAACTGAAACTAATTTTAAGTGGTTATAAACATGCCTCAATTACCTACTGAGTCCCCCGCCGAGAGAATGGGGGTTTGCTCGATTCATCCTAAGAAAGGAAATACTAGTTTTACCTTGCAACAGATCTCCCCTTTCTATCCATTTTTTGCTTGGGGCGATAGTAAGAAGATCCCTCATTGGTCGATGCACATCAGCATGATTTTATCAATTTACGAAAAGAGTGTTCATAATTTTACAACCAATCAAAACCGGGACATTCCGAATGCTTCAGATGGCTAATCTGCCGTCATTCAAACACGCAACAAATTTTTTCTTGTCAAACAAAAACAGCAGAAATTACATCGTTAAAGTAATCTTTTTCAGACCTTTTAGAGATCTGATTTATTTGAATGCATAAATTGTTCAGTTCCAACATGTTTTGTTTCAGATAATTACGACTCTGGATAACGAAGCGGTGCCAAAGTTTACTCCTATTCAGACATTTCAGAAGAACTGACACCAAAATGATAACTTGTAATGCTGATAAATGATTAATTTTGCCGTTAATCAGCATAAAATGATTAACTCGTTTGGTTTTTGAAACCTAGAATAAAGCTCGTTTTCTTCTTTTGAGGCTGGTTTTCAGATAGAAAGTATGCTGAGGGCTAAGCCTTTAAAACAGCCAAGCTTTCCGATTCTTTTTGATTAATTTATTTCATTGTTTGTTATATGCTTTTTATCTAATACCAAATACTTAGATCAATATTTTGGCTTATCATGTTTTTTTTTCTCGAGGTTCATTTGATACAGCGTGATGCGCAGAGTGGGGGTGGGGGTGTCTCGACTGTTTTGTTAGGCCAGCCGATTTGAAACTCTGATTTCTGCTTTAACACGGACTAAGTATAAATTCACATCTCTCTTCCCCCCTCCCCTCTTATGAAATCACATCTTATAAATTCAAGTTTTTAAGATTGGTCGGTTATAAATAGTTTTCAACAAAGTACTGGAAGGTCACCATTTGTAAACTTTTGCCAGAATTGAAGGAAGCTCAGCGCGCCACATCGGATGATGAGCGGTCTTTCATTAATGCGAATGTTTTCTGTCTATTGATTTCTAAAAATGACTCATGTAAGATATATATCATGGGTATTTTTCTGAAAAATAAATTTGAATATTGAAAACTAAACAAAACAAGACTGCTCGTATCAGGGCGAAGCCCTGAAGGTTCCGACTGTCTTTTAAGGTTTATGGAGCAATAATAACATTTAAAAATTCAATGAAATAAAACAAAAATCAAAAAAAAAAATTTCTAAAATTTGAAATTTTTCATGAAAATCATCCCCCCACACGCCATACAAAGTACAAAAGAATAATTTTCGCTCCTTGTAACAAACCAATTATGGCACATAAGCTTCTTTTAACCAATTTGGAACGATTTCTAAGACGGATTAACTCTCCGCTTACGCGTTAATAATGCGAAATATATCGCGCGTTAATTGTCCCGAATTGGCCAAAATGGCAATCTTTAAACCCTCATAACTTTACGAAAAATGATCAAAGATAAAATATCTTTTCAAATTTGAGCTCAGGACAACAATACCTTTCGAATGATGTAAAAAAATTCTGTCAAAAATGGCTAGTTAAAAAGTCGAAATTTCTCTGAAGAAAAAAAAACCCACCCCGAGCACAAATATTCCGTTACTTTCGTATCGAAAGTCGGAACAATTATTTCAAATATATCACCAGCAGATTGCAAATAATAACAAAAATAACCGTTAGCCGAGAAAATAGCACAGAATGTCTCGGCCAATTTTTTTCACATTAGTGTTGTTCCAACCACAGAACGACACTAATTTTTTAAAGTCGTTTCAACCACGAACTGAAGGGCTTTAAAACGATGTATCACTGGACCTATTCCGGTGACTAATTGTGGTATCTGATTTTGCGCGGAAAACAAAAAAGAAGAAATAAATTGTCGTAAGCGCGATTCGCAGAGGATCTATGAAATCCTCTGGGTTAAATTTGTTTAGAGGGTTAAATTTGTTCTTGAAGGTAAAATCGCCAAATGCTTCGATTACTAACGGAGAAGGATCGATTTGGACCCTCCATTACGGGGCTAAACTGTGCATTCTGTGCACTCTAAGCGGATTCCGCAACAGGCCAAATTCAGATTTGTCGCGGAATCCGCAATTTTGCTACTTTTCTTTGATCTTCTTCGCTGTTTTGGGTTCCACAAACAAATAACTAAAACACTGTACTACTCAAAATCGCTCCAAAAATAGGCGATTTTGCGGAGTCCGCAACCGTACTTGTGGAATCCAGAACAGTTTGTGGAATCCAAAAACAAATAAAAAAAAACATTTGAATAGTTAAACTGAGCTGTTGCGGATTCCGCAACTGTGAGCGGAATCCGCAAATTGTAAGTGGAATCCGCAAATTGTAAGTGGAATCCGCATTTTTTTTGCGGATTCCGTTTACATAAATGTATGTGTAATGTAGCGTATAAAATTATATCTTTGAATTACTGGTCACCAGAAAAATCAATCTCAATTACTACATTGATCAACTACCAGTTGAAATACCAAACGCTTGGTCTCAATTCCTGTCAACCCAACTTCGATCTCAAGTCCTGTTAACTTCGATCTCAACCTCGATCCCAAATACTGACCTAATGAACTTCAATCCCAAACACTGACCTAATAAAATTCGATCCCAAATACTGACCTAATTCGATCTGAACTTCGATCCCAAATACTGGTGCAATCCCAAATACTGACCTAATTCAGCAATATGCTGTGCGTTATGTTTCCAAACACTCTCAAGTCAATGACTACAAATATTGAATTTGTTTGGTGTTAAGCTTCCAAAATCAGTATTTGGGATTGACGCAATCCCAAATACTGAACTAAATTGGCGATATGTTGTGTGTTGTTTTTCCATACACTCTCAACCCATTGACTCCAAATATTGAAATTATTCGGCGTTATGGTTCCAAAATCAGCATTTGAGATTGGCGCAATCCCAAATACTGACCCAATTTGGCGATATGCTGTGTGTTGTGTTTCCATTCACTCTCCACCCAATGACTCCAAATATTGAACTTATTCGGTGTTGTGTTTCCAAAATACTAAAAAGTGACATCCATCGATGTAGTTAACAAATGTTTTGAGATTTGTTCATGGATTCCGCTGACAATGGTTAAGTCCTTGCCTTTAAAGTCCACAATGCTAAAGATAAGAATTCCAGCTCTAGCTTTTAATTGTTCATCTGCAAATTCAGTAATAAACAAAGTTCTGAATCAACTTACAAATTTCGCGGATTCCATTTACATTTGCGGATTCCACTTACATTTTGTGGAATCCACTTAAGGTTGCAATTGCGGATTCCACTTACATTTTGTGGAATCCACTTACAGTTGCGCGGAATCCACGGAACTTTTGTAAGTGGAATCCACTGACATTTTGGAACATGTTTAAAGGTTTGTCTATGGAATCCAGGAGCATACATAAATTGTGCGGCTATCCAGTGCACAGTTTGGCCTCGTAAGGTCATAGCTGTACGAAACAAGATCACAGGTGAACTATTTTTTTAAAAAATTATTGCTCAAAGCAACAATACTTTCTGGAGGATATAAGAAGCCCCGACAAGTATTGCTAGTTAGAAAATCGAAACTTGCCTGGATTAAAAAACCACCCATTTCATTTTTTATGGATCTAATAATAGAATTTCAGAGTTCAAATACATGATTCAGGGCATTAAGTGTGGAAGCTAAGAGTGAATAATAACCAAAGTATCCATGCACAGGGGGGATTTTTTTCACATTAGTGTTGTTCCAACCACAGAACGACACTAATTTTTTAAAGTCGTTTCAACCACGAACTGAAGGGCTTTAAAACGATGTATCACTGGACCTATTCCGGTGACTAATTGTGGTATCTGATTTTGCGCGGAAAACAAAAAAGAAGAAATAAATTGTCGTAAGCGCGATTCGCAGAGGATCTATGAAATCCTCTGGGTTAAATTTGTTTAGAGGGTTAAATTTGTTCTTGAAGGTAAAATCGCCAAATGCTTCGATTACTAACGGAGAAGGATCGATTTGGACCCTCCATTACGGGGCTAAACTGTGCATTCTGTGCACTCTAAGCGGATTCCGCAACAGGCCAAATTCAGATTTGTCGCGGAATCCGCAATTTTGCTACTTTTCTTTGATCTTCTTCGCTGTTTTGGGTTCCACAAACAAATAACTAAAACACTGTACTACTCAAAATCGCTCCAAAAATAGGCGATTTTGCGGAGTCCGCAACCGTACTTGTGGAATCCAGAACAGTTTGTGGAATCCAAAAACAAATAAAAAAAAACATTTGAATAGTTAAACTGAGCTGTTGCGGATTCCGCAACTGTGAGCGGAATCCGCAAATTGTAAGTGGAATCCGCAAATTGTAAGTGGAATCCGCATTTTTTTTGCGGATTCCGTTTACATAAATGTATGTGTAATGTAGCGTATAAAATTATATCTTTGAATTACTGGTCACCAGAAAAATCAATCTCAATTACTACATTGATCAACTACCAGTTGAAATACCAAACGCTTGGTCTCAATTCCTGTCAACCCAACTTCGATCTCAAGTCCTGTTAACTTCGATCTCAACCTCGATCCCAAATACTGACCTAATGAACTTCAATCCCAAACACTGACCTAATAAAATTCGATCCCAAATACTGACCTAATTCGATCTGAACTTCGATCCCAAATACTGGTGCAATCCCAAATACTGACCTAATTCAGCAATATGCTGTGCGTTATGTTTCCAAACACTCTCAAGTCAATGACTACAAATATTGAATTTGTTTGGTGTTAAGCTTCCAAAATCAGTATTTGGGATTGACGCAATCCCAAATACTGAACTAAATTGGCGATATGTTGTGTGTTGTTTTTCCATACACTCTCAACCCATTGACTCCAAATATTGAAATTATTCGGCGTTATGGTTCCAAAATCAGCATTTGAGATTGGCGCAATCCCAAATACTGACCCAATTTGGCGATATGCTGTGTGTTGTGTTTCCATTCACTCTCCACCCAATGACTCCAAATATTGAACTTATTCGGTGTTGTGTTTCCAAAATACTAAAAAGTGACATCCATCGATGTAGTTAACAAATGTTTTGAGATTTGTTCATGGATTCCGCTGACAATGGTTAAGTCTTTGCCTTTAAAGTCCACAATGCTAAAGATAAGAATTCCAGCTCTAGCTTTTAATTGTTCATATGCAAATTCAGTAATAAACAAAGTTCTGAATCAACTTACAAATTTCGCGGATTCCATTTACATTTGCGGATTCCACTTACATTTTGTGGAATCCACTTAAGGTTGCAATTGCGGATTCCACTTACATTTTGTGGAATCCACTTACAGTTGCGCGGAATCCACGGAACTTTTGTAAGTGGAATCCACTGACATTTTGGAACATGTTTAAAGGTTTGTCTATGGAATCCAGGAGCATACATAAATTGTGCGGCTATCCAGTGCACAGTTTGGCCTCGTAAGGTCATAGCTGTACGAAACAAGATCACAGGTGAACTATTTTTTTTAAAAAATTATTGCTCAAAGCAACAATACTTTCTGGAGGATATAAGAAGCCCCGACAAGTATTGCTAGTTAGAAAATCGAAACTTGCCTGGATTAAAAAACCACCCATTTCATTTTTTATGGATCTAATAATAATTTCAG